TCATCCCAAAACTGACGGAATCTGGCAGTCTGTAGAGGAAGATAGACAGAGACACGTGATGAGATTCGTGTTTTATATCAGCATTGAGAGTGAGAAGAGTTGAACCTAAATACCTCCAAGGAGTGCGATAAAACAATGAGTGTCTTGAATTGCTCCTCCATTTGCTGGTACAGAACAGACAACCAATTAGAATATTAAAGCATATCTAAGCAATGAATGGACATCCAATAACAATGTAATGAAAATCGATGACAAAGAAAGTCCAAATATGTGCAACATTGGCTAGAGAAAAAAAATATTGGGGACACGAGGCGAAAACACAAACTCTCAACCACGTGCATATCTTCTAAATCCGTTCACTATATCGTAAACAATTTTCTGAAATTGCTCCTCGACTTCATTTTCAAACAGTATTTTGACCTTTTTCCAGCACGGAACTTCACAGTGAGATAAAATGAAGCATTTTTCTCATCGTGTTTGTTCAATTCAAAATGAAAAGCTTGACGAATAAGTAAAAGTGCGCAGTAACAGGATTTGAGATTAAAGAGAAAATCAAATACCACTCTCTCAGGAATTAAAAAGAGGCAAAGGCTGAAATCAGGGGCAGGCATTGCCATTAGAGCCTGTAGAAAGTAATCAAAAAAATTATAATCCATAAGAAAAAAATAATGTAAACGAAAACGGAATAATTTTGCGTTGTCTTATAAACAATTTCAAGTACCTTGATCAAAATGCGAGCAACAATCTGGGTGCTCATTCTCTCGGGCTCAACCTGCAATTTTTAAGAAATAATTAACAATTGATAGTAAAGGAATTCCAGTTCAATAAGATGATAAAACAATATACCTGGTAAAGACGCAGAAGGCAAAGGTTTGCATTCAAACTGTAGGTTTGCGATGAAACCTACAATTCAATTTTTTTTTTTAAATTAACGAAGAACGACCATTGGAAACAAACCTAAATCAGAATTAACAAAAACTGAAACAATCCCCAATCCAAAAGAGAAACTGGCGTAACGAAATTAGTATTTGAGATCTGAATCTACAATAGGTGCTTACTTGTTCGTTAACGTAGTTTTCGATATCAGGGAGGATGTCGGGATTGTACGGGTTGACGGCGACGAGCTGCTCCACCGTGTACGACAGCGACGACTGCTGCTTTTGATTCGCCGGCGTATTGCTCAACTCTCCTACCATTTCTTCTCCAGTAATTGTGTGAATGTAAGTAATTTGAAACTATAGAACCCTGATTTGATGAACGGAAGAAGAACAGAGATAGAGTTTCTACTTTCTGGTAGAGCTTTTCGGTTTGTTAACGGAGAACCCATACAGTTGAACTAAAAAGACCGATATACCCCTCGTACTGAATACGGTTTAGCCCCGTAAATTGGAATGAAATTTTCGCCTCTCGGCCGATTTGAATCAAATTGTTTCTGGCTTTTCATTTTGAAAATTCTGATTTCTAATTCGATTTAACTTCGAAAATAAATACAAAAATTCTAAAAAAGTAATACAAAAATTACACTTATTATATTAAATCAATATGATGTACATTTAAGTAAATGGAAATTCAGAATCCAGTCGATTCTGATCCGAAAATTTCCAATTTTGTAACAAGTTTTATCATTTCGATTTTCTAGTGAAATACATCGGGGGTTTTTCATCTTTGATTTACATACAATCACACACATATACACGTGAATACATATAAAATATATGTATCCCCACGCGTATACGGTAAGATATAAAACCCGATAGAATTCACCAAATATAACACGAAACAAACCATCGACGACATAATACCGCGCAGACACACGAGATACAAATCATAAAGCTATGATCATTAATTCCATATTACAAAAATCAACAAGTGTTAGTTCTCACAAATGCAAGAGATTAGAAATCAAATTCCAGCCCATCCAAGACTTCTTGTCACTAAGAGGTACAAAATTGAGCTGAAACATCTCCCTCGAAACAGGCTGCGCCGATTCACAGAATCCGACAAGCTTCGCAACAACCTCTGCACTTTCCTTAACATGTCCCATATTCAATGGATCTGTCCACAACTTATTCACAAGCTGCTGTCTCCTCTTCTGTTTCCCCTCCGGTGGTATATCCCATTTCAAATACAACACCTCTCTTTCTTCTGCCGTCAATTTCGAACTCACCCTCTTCGCCAAATACTCCCTCTCTTGTTTAAGCGCCTTAATGCTGAATGCAGATCAACCAACACTTCAAATTTACAATCTCATACCATATTATACACACACACACACACACACACACATATATATATATATATATATATATATATATATATATATATATATATATATATATATATACCTTGAAGATACTGAGCAAGCGGGGTCATCGCCTAAGAGAGCAGGGCTGGCATTACCAAGATCGTCCAAATGCTGCTCCAGACATCTCAGTCTACTTAGCTCAATTTACATGTATCTGTGATCACAAGGGTCTCCTCTAAATAACAAATAGAATTGCGTGCGGTGCACGATTGACACGTGGCAGAGATGCCACAGCATTATAATCTCCTTCCTTTGATCCTCGAAAACTGCGATCCATGATGGCGTTGGAGATTGACCTGTCAATGTCTCGGCGTCGTCCTCGCTCGAAGCCTCGTTCGCCTCCTCTAGCTCCAACACCTAAATAGTTTCTTACAATCAATATTAATTTTTTTATTCGGAAAAAAAATGATCTGAGAAAAAAAAATTACCTGGCAAACAAGAAGGTGTTTTTGGTACTGTAGCTTGGCAACACGTTCTTTGAGCTCGGTAACATACGCTTTAATGCTTTGGATGTTCTCCTCAGCAGCCTTCTTGAACATCTTCTGGACTTTCTTTACATTGATAGAGCTCGACTGTTTTTGGGCAGAAACATTGGTAACACTACAGTTTTCTTCACTATTAGGGGTCCTCTTTGAGGGTGCTCGATTTTCGATTTCATCTTCCATTAATTTGTGAGAAGAAGTAGAGCAAGGCGAACGTATCAAATTTGGCATGTTTGCTGCATTGCTCAATGTAAAAGGGAGACCACCTTTTCTCTTCTTGGAGCAAGTCTTTGACTCGGGAGTTGACTCCTGACTGTTAGGAAAATGCATAACTAATTTCTCGATTGATCTCTGAACACTATCGAGCTTCTCTTCTAGAACAGAGATGTTCCCTTCTTGGGAATCCAAACGAGCAATCTCTTCTCTCAAGGTGGTAGATTTATCTTTCATATGAACTACTTCCGAAGTGCAACTTGCCCCTGTGTGCATGACTTTAATTTCTGCGAGCATTTTTGCGATTGTTTCGGCAGTTTCGTGACTTCCAATTCTCTGAGAAGAAACCTCCTTGTGGAGTAGCTCCAGTGCACGATTTGCTTCTTCGCCGAGCTGTCTTTGCCTCGTCTCCAATTTTCGTATTTCGGTAAACAACATGCCTGAAGAAGTGCCTGACTTTTTCCCCATCTTTCTCGACTTTGGTTTTGTTGAATCAGGTTTTTGAGAGATTGAGTCATTCTCGGTGGTAAAAGAGAGACGTTTTACTGCTTGACAAGACGGTCCGTGGTTGTCTGAAGACTGAGAAAGAACATATATTACACACAAAATATGTGCAGCATGAGAGAGAGAGAGAGAGAGAGAGAGAGAGAGAGAGTACATGGTTACTGCTTACCTTTTTTTCTTTGTGTGAGCTTCTTTCTAAGTCAAGCTGATGCTTCAGCTCATTGATTTCTCTCTCCATCTGCATGTAAAAACCGATCAGTACTTGCAATGATTAATGATAATCATGGAGAAAAATGCTAAGAACTTGAGGTAAAATTTCTGATTATCTCTTATAAGTTAAAAAAGGATCCCATAATAAATACCTGCTGGATTTTGAAGTCCTTTTCCCTCAGCAAAGACTTCAAACATGAAGAGGCGGCAGATGTTGGCTCGGGGCTTCGAAGCTCTGCTTCCAGTCGGGCAACTTCCTCTTGCAATTTCTTTACTAATTGCTTCTTTTCAACAATCTACAGTTGGAAAACGGCTTGAAAAATTACAGAAGATGGATACTAAAATACTAATTAATCGCTCTGAACCCCTGCTTATAGCTCTTCTTCTAATTGTGCTTTATGTTAATAAAATCAAACTTTTGTTTAGCATTCTCTTAAGCATAAGCAGAAAGAAAATATTATTAGCCTATTATTACTAAAATCAATATCTAAGAAAGTAATTTCGGCTAGAGAGTAAAACACCGTGCACTTTGTACGAGTTCAATAGTGTTTTTGTCAATACCATGTTCACTTGTGCAGTGTTAGTAACTTCCTTCGCACTTGTTGCAAATGACAGAGTGTTTCTTGATTGCTCTACATGGCTCAAAGCAGGACTCATAGTGCAAATAATTGCTGTCCGTGCATTTCCACCAAGCGATGTCTGCAATATCCTCGTGAGTTTTGAATCTCTGTAAGGAATGTGCCCACTCCTCTTTCCACAACTGCACACAAAACAAAAACAAAAAATTGTATTTATTTATGCAGCTCATAGATATATACCATACAGTCTATAAAAAGCAATTGAATGAATTTTTAACATTATAAATTACTCGGTGAAATATGTGATTATCATGCATTTTCTTTTAGTTTTTCAGAATCACGCACCTTAACTTTCTGATTACAGTTGTCAATGTCAGTAGGCTTCTATTAATATGGCTCCCTTCCTTCAACCTTGTACCATCTGTATTTGCTTGAGTCGCACGCTCACTTCCAGCAAGATCCACTAGATTCTGTAATAGTCCACAATTTAATACTAAAAACAATCTAATAATTGTTAAAGAAGAGAAAGATAGGGGGTGAGGTATAAAATGTACACGTACCAAACTCGCTAGAAAAGATTTCACACATCCTGAGTCCTCTCTGAGGCTGCTTTCGATTGTCTGAAAATTAAAGGGAAAAATAAGAGAACAAACAATGTGTCATAACTCACAAGTGGCAGATTTAGGGTATCATCATCCCCATATAACATGAAAAGATCGAATAGCACATACCAGCCTAATTATCTGGTGTGACCTTGAGCTTTTATCATTGAGAGCAGTTTCACCCACCTGCCTTTGAGCTGCAAGAACATGAATATGTTAATACATTTCTTACGTAGACAACAGTGTAATGTAAGACTGGTGAAACAAAAAGGTATTCAAGAATAAGTCAGTACAGGCGAGAGAAACATAAAAAATACACTAAACATTTCTAGCTCGGCTTTACCTTCACAGATACTTATTAGGTGCCTCAAATGCTGATCATCTTTGATGACCTCTTCAATTAATTTTTCCACTATGGTTCCTCCTTTCTGCACACATAAACATTTTTAAAGACGCAAATCCATCGAGAAGAATTATATATCCAAATATTAATTAGGTTACCTCAGGATCATCCAATAGGCGAAGGGGTCCAGACTCTCTGTTCAAGAGATCTACCACAGTTTCATTATAGATCTCTAACGCAGAGAACTTGAGCAAAAATTCCCTCTCTCGAGTCTGTCAGTGAATAAAATTATCTATTTTAGAGAATTTACAACCAAATAAATAATTCCCATATCGAATTCCTAAATCAGTATATCTTACAAACTTGATGTGCTCGTAAATGTCTTTGACAGCATTTTCTGTCACACCCCTCATAGTGAATGTCTTCCCGCTGCTAGTCTGCCCATACGCAAAAATTGTTGCTGCAAAAGAAACATTAAAAGCTAAATAATAGAAAAAAAAAACTAAAAACAAAAGACATATCCTTAGAATTACTTTTTCCAATCAAAATACACAGTATATCATTTTACCATTAATTCCATTAAGAGCAGACAAAGCAACATCTCTTGCACCGTCTTCGTAAACTTTTCGTGTAGAGCAAGTTGGATCAAAAACCTTGTCTGAAAGATTCAAGCAAGCACAGATATAAACGCCATTCTCAATTAATCAAAACTAGGATATACATTCGAAGAATCTTGTTCAGGGTAATCACAATACCAAATGAATATGTTCCTCCATGCCGTTCATGATATAGATTCTTCGAAACAATGGTATTTTCATCTGTAATTTCCCATGCAACAAGGTCGTAAGCTGCTAGTTCTCTTGAACTCAGTGGCCTCATTCGAACAGTCACTAGAATATTCTCCTCCCGAACTTTTGGACCGCCAGGTGTACATGCTGGCGTCCTCCTGATCTTCGATGATGGTGTAACTGGTGTTCCTATTGTCATCTTCACCAAACAGGATCTTTATTCCCAGAAATCAACAACAAAAAAAAACACGAAGCGGTTATAAAGTTAAATTATTATCATATGATGACAAATACACAGGCAGTTAAGTAATATAAATTGTAAACCATTTCTTATTTTTTTAAGTTTCACTCGATTTTCTACACAGTAGATAGTAAAAAAAATGAAAAATCGATCTGCCTATTCTAAAATATCTACTAACGAACAACAACAGCAAACATAAAATAGCAAAGGCGATGGATAAAAATCCACCTTATTTCCAAAGAAAAGCCCTAATTCCTCAATGGCCAACGCCCAAAGCAGATTCAAATTCTCCAAAAAAAAAAAAAAAAAAAAAAAAAACAGTATAATATTTCACGACTCAAAAAATCATCGATTAAGAGCGCATTAAAACAGAAGAAATTATTCACTTACATCTGTAAAATATACCAAAATTTCTAGAAAAATCAGCGGCAGCATTGACCAGCAGAAACCAACAATTCAAGTTTGATCGAGATAACAGAGCATCGGGTTCTTCGTTTAATTTAACGCAGCGTGGAGTAGATTCTCTTTTTTCAGGAGATTTTTATTCAGAAAATATGGAAAACGAAGAGAGCTCCTGAGGAAAATGTGGGGGGTTTCCGTATCAGTATTTCTATCTGTGTTCTTTTTTTCTTTTTTTAGATTTATTTGAAATTAGAAGAATTAATAATTAATAATTAATAACGGCTAGTCATTACTCCCCCAATTCAAAAGATGAAAGAAGAAACGCCAAAGGAAATTAAAAAGCGTGTAGGTAGACATCAGCGCTTTTATAAGGGAAAACGACAACGTTTATATATGTCAGTCAGCACTAAATCAAATGGTACCTGCAAATTTTCTTTTTTTACTTTTAAATTAATGAGTAAATTAGATCTTCTTCTAACGGTTCCATCCTTACAGTGTCAAATTTAATGGAATATTCTTCAATTTATACTCGTTTTATCTCATTCGAGCTCCACATGTTAGAACAAGATGATCATAAGACGTGTTTATTGATTTGTAAATATCAGATTGTGGTTGTATCATATCATGCACTGCATTTTGTGCAGTGCTGTGAGTATAGTTGTCAATGTCAATGAGACTTTTATTAACTACTACAACGTTAACAGAGCAATTCAGAATATGGAAAACGAGCCTGCGTGGGTGTAGCTCAACTGGTTCCGGAGGTGGTAAGTTGGTACAAGGTCCTAGGATCGAATCATGGCAGCCGCAGTGTGGAATTTCAACTCCAAAGATGGCTGGTTCTTTGTGGGCACCGGGTCCGGGTCCGCTACCTTAACAAGCTGTTGAGTTACCGTGATTTACATTACTTCATCAAATACTTATCGGGCCAAGGGATGGGGCCGAGTTTCGCCTTTTGATACAAGAATATAGAAAACGAAGCGTGAGGGAGATTAAAAGAGGCGGGAAATTTATTAGGGAATTAATTAATTAATGAAAATAATTAATAGGCCCAGCCCAGTTTATCATTTTCAAAGAAAGCCGAAAAGTTAGTCCAGTAAGATGCATCTCCTGATGGGCCACTAATTGCAATAAAGCACATTACATTCAAATAAGATTTGAGTAAGCCCTTTATTATTTATTATTTTGTGAATTATTAAATCATTCCTCATGTTTAATTTATTCAGTTATTAAAAACATAATCAGCTTTGTAATTATTAAATAAATAAAATAAACCTCAAGATAATATTTGAATGAGAGGATTTTGAGCAAACATCATTAAATAATTAAAAAAAAAATTGTTAATCTTGTTTAGATTGACTAATGTGACAAAATATCTCAAATTCTTAGTTCTTATTATTAAGTTAGTTTTTTTAATTATCCTAGGGTAAATTACGGTCACCCTCCTGAGTTAAGGTTAAATTACGGAAAAAAAAAAAATTCTTGTTTGTTTGAGTAATTACAATTATCACCTCAACTATGATTTTTCTTACATGTTCACTCTTATGGTGTTGAGTTAAACATAATCTTCTAGACTCCTTGAGACGTTCTCTAGTTCAGTAGTTTGTACTCATTTTATGCAAAAATGCAGTTTTCGATGCACCACAATATGATGTTTACAAGTCAGCAGACACATCTTATGATCATCTTGTTTCAAAATGTGGAGCTCAAATAGGCTAAAAGCGAGTACAATCTTGAGAATATTCCACATAATCTAAAAAAATATTTTTTAATTTGACACCGCAAGAATGAACATATTAGAAAATTTATACTTGAGAGACGATTATAATTATTCAAACATGAAAGGTTTTTTTATAATTAGATTTAATGAATTGAACAAATTTTTACATGTGACCTATTTAAAGAAAACGTAATAAATCAAACACATTACATATTAAGCATATGTCGTGGTCCTTACAGCAGCAAATCCATATATAT